AGCAAGAAGGTTGCTGGTTCGAGTCCCAACTGAGTCAGTTGACATTTTCTGTGTGGAGTTTGCATGTTCTCCCTGTGTTTCCCCCACAGTCCAAAGACACGTGCTTTAGGTACGCTAAATTGTCCGTAGTGTATGTGTGTATGTCCTGGTCTTCCAGATTGGGGGTTGAGTGCTAACAACCCACCTCATAAAAACTAGATGTTACGAAACACCAACATGGTGCGACTAAATATCGACTTCAATAAAAATGGCTCTTGGAGTAAGTAAATTTGTATTTTAGTAAATTTAAACAAACTATAAAGAATATCATCCGTTAACAAAACATGAATATAGGCCTGTGTAAGAAAAAGGACATTAAGCTAAACTGGAGCTTTTAAATTGTTTATGATAATTTGATTGATGACAAAGTTTTCTTAGTGTATTAAGATACATGATTTTAACTACTCGTGCTCCCCTGGAGAAGCCAAACCACATGTGGAGACCTACACTAATGACAAATGGATCTGTCAGCAGATACATCGAAACACATTACCCAAACGTGCCAAATCACAGTGAGCTGTAAGAGCTGACTGTTCTTGTACAACCTCAACACCTGGCTGAGTGAATGAGCAGACTCTGAGCCTCTGTTTTGCTTTCTCAATTATTCTTCAAATAGCTGGGCTTGTATTTCTGTTATGTTTTAAAACAGACAGGTTGTTTCTGGTGGACCCCAGACTAAAGGTTAATTTATGTTCCAGTTTTTCCAGTACTCTTATGGGAATGAATTCATAATATGCATGCGAATGCTAACAAATGCAGAAGCTCAATCCAAAATCGGCTACACATCGCTTTCCTTCTTGATTTCAACTGCAGTCACTGCTTCTCATGATTATTGAAAATTAATAATATCTAGTTGTTTCAGAACAAATATTTGTCAGAGATTCTCATCCTCAAGGCAGAATCCTATATTAAAACGTTTACAAAATGTTTCTTAAAACAAACAGAAACATTAAGAGTAGGGCTGCAGGATTAATGGAAAAAAGATCACAATCTAGATTCGACCCTACACACGATCTTAATTCAGCTTTTTCTACGATTCAGGCAATCATATTTTCAAGGTCAGGAGGGAAGCAAGGCAGTCGCACAAGTCTTCACAAAAACATTGACAACTTCAAATGGCATTAAAAGTTACAGATACTGTATTTATTTAAGGTATAATTCATCCAAAAAAGTCATTTCTGTCTTCATGTAATACACACATGAGCTGACTGCCAGCTGTTTGTTTACTTCCGAGAACCAGTATAGCCAGATGTACAGTAGCTGACTGTTTCCAGCCTAAAACCCGTTGAAAACTAAAAATAACCGGCCAACAATCTGTTGGAGATCACAACTGTTGTAAGCCTTTGTATGAGGAGAACAGGGGCTATGCCACCTCTTTGGAAGATCATAACAGGTTTAAAAATGAAGAACAGGGCTGGCAGTCATGCATTTACAAAACCGCCCAATTTTACACTACCCGCCTATGTCATTTTTTACAATCTGGCAACATTGCCGAGAATGTGCACATGCCCGTCTATGATGCCTACTTTAGTGAACACAACCTACATAGTAATGAAGGTAATGAAGTTGTAAATAAAGTTCAGTTTGTTGCACAGAGTGGTTGTTTGAGGGCTGTGCGGGAGATTTGATTTGCATATGTGTTTTTTCTCACAGTGACGGCAGCCATGAGCCGCACTCGGAAGTGAAAGTGAAACTGTGCGCACATCATTTAAATGATCATATCGCATTTTACAGTTATGATTACGACAATCATTTGATGTGTTTTTTTTCTATAATAGCAAACAAAAAGTGTTGTAGATGAAAATAAATATTTACTGTGTCAGTATAACAACCCAAGCCCATATATAATGTTGAATATAATGCAAGAAGGAATCTGATAATGACAAAATTCAAATTTTACCAGAGAAAACAAATGGTCTAATAATGTTGTCAATGACAAATGACAAGCACAAGCCTCAAACATAATAAATCAACTTAATGATTATGAATAGTTGTATTCTGATGTCATCATTTTACTGTGAACTAACACACAGGACATACTGAAAGTCTGTTCAAGTCCACCATAATGACTATAGAAAATTGAGCATTTAAAGCAACAGTAGACCTACAAACAGGCCGAATATTATTATTGTTGTTTTACCATATGTTTGAGAATTAACAATAATAATAGGCTAATCATATTACCCTTTAATTAACATTTACAGAATCGTGAGAAATAATCATGATCTTGATTTTAAGCAAAAAAAATCGTGATTCACATTTTAGCCAGAATCATCAATTAAGAGTACTAGAGACTGATATTCAAAGTTGACTACAATACAATTTTAAGTTAACATAAAGATTAGGCATGGGGACTCAACTCTAAAAGAGAACAGGAAGTCTGTTTTTTTAAACCCTCTTGAATGAAGCAATTGCATGCTACAGTTATAATGCTTATTCTCGAACATGAGTACCGAAGGCACCCGCTTTGAATGAAGGCTCAACCATTTTCTACTTTTTGCTTTTGAATTTGAGTACTCTATTATAAATAGTGCTGCAAATGAAGTTTGCTTTCACTTTCACTTTTTGCAATTTGGTTTTTAAGATAATCTGCTTGTGATGTCAAGTTTGCTGAGTTTTAAATGAAATATAGCATATGTGTGTGAATTTAGAGCAGATCGACATCTTACATACACATTGCAGGTAAAATTACGATGTTATGTTACTGGTTGCTACTATATGCTCAAAAAAAGGTTTAACCTATGCCTATTTCACAAATAGTCTAAATAAACATATACATTAAAAACACTGCATCATAATGACAAAAGAAGCCATTTATTTATTGACAAAATCTGACAATACATGTGGTCGTGTTTTGTTTTGTTTCTGTTTTTTGGCCCTGGACACACTTAATTTCACCTGTAATATTTAGGCTATTCTTCTTGTTTATTCTGCAAATAACTACAAAACATACATTAAAATACGAATCAAACCAAAACGAAATTTGTTTCAAAAAGAGGATTGTTAAATAAAAATAAAGCCAAGGCTAAGTGTTCAAAAACAGGTTTGACTCACTCCTTTTCTTCCGGCATATGCGGTCCCATTAACACACCCTCATTTAATTACAATGAAAAAATTGCACAAACAAACAGTGATGTTTAAAAGTAAAGTAATAGGCTATTTAAAAGTACAATAAAAAACACATTTGCTGGAGCGAGAGCAATATGATATGCTTCGAGGCACAGTATATCACACTGCTTTTTTACTTATTATTTTAGGTTTGTTATGAGTTATTTAAGTTAAACACTTTGTGCAGGGGGTTTACTATTTAATTGATCATTAAATCAAATTGAAAATCTATCTATTTGATTTATTGATTGGTTGGAGCATCTGTTGTCATTACAAAAATATACAGCGATTAACAACCGCAGACTTGGGGCATGCATGACTGTCAGCTTCACCAGATTACAGAAGATATTTAGGAGTTTTATGATTTTTTAAAATTGTTGTTTGGGCTCAATTGGGGTGTTTTTTATTTGTTAATGAACTGCTACACATCTTTCCATTAAACATTCATTCATTCATTTTCTTTTCGGCTTAGTCCCTTTACTCACAGGGGCCGACACAGCCGAATGAACCCCAACTTATCTAGCATATGCTTTACACAGCGGATGCCCTTCCAGCTGCAACCCATCACTGGGAGACACCCATACACTCTCATTCACACACGTACACTAAGGACAATTTAGCCTACCCAATTCACCTATAGCGCATGTCTTTGGACTTGTGGGAGAAACCAGAGCACCCAGAGGAAACCCACGCGAACACGGGGAGAACATGCAAACTGACCCAGCTGAGGCTCGAACCAGTGACCTTCTTGCTGTGAGGCAATTGTGCTACCCATTGGGCCACCGATTACTACGCCATTTTCTAAATTATATAAACTAGCCAATTAAAATATGCTGTAAAAAGTATAAGCTGATAACTATTTTATTTTGGCTGCAGATGATTTAAACTGCTGATTTTTTCAAACCAAAGGAGAACTGCATGTATAAAGTGCGATATGTTACAGCATATTTAATCCTTGCGCTATTTTAAGTAAATATAAATGGAGTCATTTCCGAAGTTAATTCTAGGAGTTAACAATCAGAGTCGAATCCAAAAATCCCGGAAATGAACACCCCTAATAAAGATACAGCACATAATCACTTGGAAGAACTGGGAATTCTACGTTCATCTGTATTTTATATTGTACATATTGATGCTACTTTAGTAGCTTTTTTTTTTCATGATCTCTTAAAAAAGGAGGATATTTTGATACAAAGTTATCTGCCTTTATCATGACAAATATGCATTCATCCATATATAAAAACTCTACACCCTTTTAAATATAGGAATCCATGACCATGGCCTGAAAAAGTAGCTTGATTCTCAAGCTCTGCACTGACCTACTTGTGCCCGATTTCCATATATATATCCCACACATAAACAACCAAAATAAACAAACATGTTTCAGGTTTACTTTTGGCTCCTTACATCTCTCTGTGGATCAATCCATTCCTCACTCAACTCATGACTCATAACTACATTTTCTTTATATATTACGATTAGAAAACAACAACCTGCCTTTCTACAATCCTCCTTATCTAACCACACAGCACACACACACAGAGACGGACAAATTAAATCTCTTTAGAATGTAACATTCACACCCTCGCCAGCTCAGGAAACCCCAAGCCTCGCCATCTCCTGCATAGTTTCTACAACGACCGGATGAGAAGCGCTGTTTTGCTTCCCCCCTCAGAGGAACTCCGTAAAACACAGTGGGACTATTGAACATGAGGAGTAATGAAAAAGAGAAGGGTAATAAAAGAAAAGGAATACAGAAAAAAGCCAGATTCCAGATTATAGTCTGGACTGACCATAACAACATTATGACTAGCATATTGAAGCAAGAGAACAGCTTTGAAAAGTGCTAGTACCTGTGAAGAAGACCTGGGTGGTTCTGGAGAAGACAAGCTGGTCTGTGATGTTCCACTTTTCTCAAGCGAATCCACTTTCTCATAAGTCCTCTTTTGTCGGCTTCCAAGCCCCTCTGTCACCAATGGTGACAGCATCACATCACCGTGGTTGCTCGCCCCGGCCCTACACAGTGATCGGTTGCTTGATGTCACGTCCTCCCTTGATCCACCCCCTCTTGCACCCATTTTTAATGAACTGACAGGCGAGCGTGCAGTACTTCCAGAGGCTTCCGAGCCCATCTCAGTGTCCAGACTGGCCTTGCTTCCATGATGTGCATTGGAACGGTTCACCACTGCCCTCATTTCTGCCATCAGCTTCTCATTCAATGCACTCAATTCCCCACTGCTGCCCACAGATCCGGGCCGACCCGATCCAGTGCCTAGAGCAGCACGACGTCGGTTCTTCCTCCGGAGACTTGGAGATGGCCCGGTGGAATATCCTGAGTCCTGATACGTGACGGCAGCAGGGCCTGGGTACTCCTGAGAAGCGAGGCTGCTTTGACGGCTGTGGCGAGGCTCCAACAGCCTCCATGATTGCTTCTTCTCCAAAGACACTTCTTTCTTAATCTGTGCAGAGACTGGAGACTGAGGTTGAATTTGAGGGCTGGTTGAACTTGAAGTACCCTCAATGGCATTAGATATCTGGGGCTGGTGCTTGGATGCTGTTGCATCCACATTTACCATATGTTTGATGCACTCCCGACCAGCCGGACTGTACTCACTAGCTGAGGAGCTGCAGATGTGTTTGTTATGAGGGAACTGAAGTAGTTTAGGAGGCTGGGTTCCCCTTGGTAGGCTGGTGGAGTAGGGACCTCGATGTAAGTGGTGTGCCCCTTCTACTTCCATTTCCACTGGAGGTTCATCATAAATGGGGGCATCCAGTGCTGGAGGTTCATCATAGATGGGTGCTGAGGGTGTAGCCCCATACTGAGGGGAAGAGGGGCGAGGTGTACCTGCACCAGAGCGCTGGTGGCCAGAGGAAGAGATAGAAGAGGGTAAAAGCAGACAGAAGTTGGCATCCCCCTTTTTAAGGTGGTAACCTTGCTTGGAGTCTCCTGGAGCTGCCATTTTATTGAGTTGTCCCGTGTAACCTGGTTTGAATGAAGTGCCGTTGTTGGTGGGGTTGAGGTGAAGTAGGTGGAGGGCAGAAGCTGGACCCAGAGACTGATTTCTTCCAAAGCTGTTAACTTTCACCAACATGGCAGCCTTGGACCCAGGAGCAGGCTGCCATCTTTGAGCAGCATCCCTGGAACACACAGAAGGAGGATACTGTCAACACTTTCTCTATTGTTCACATAGGCAGCTGCTTTATTTGCTTTAGTCAAACTGAAATATAACCTTGTTTGTGGTTAATTTTGGATGCTCTACTGTAGTTTTACGGTTGAGACTAGGTAATTTGAGTCTACAACAAACCAAGACCATAGGAATAATGGACTTCAGTTGAAGTTTTCAACTTCAATTCTCTACATATCATTTCTATCGCAACTCTAGTCTTCAAGATCCAATGTCCTGCAATCAAAATCACCTACTTGTTGCTTTCTAGCAATCCTAAAGACATTAATTAGCTTGTTGAGATGTATTTAATTAAGCTAAACCCTGCAAACACTGGCATGCTGAGTAATCAGTCCTGGAAAGCCAACGTCCTGCAGAGTTTAACTTTAACTAGCACACTTGCATAAAAGATTCTATCAAGTCAGTCTAAAAACCTTTATTAGCTGATTCAGGTTTGTTTAATGATAGTGGGGGCTTTGTAAGGTAGTGGTCTACTAGAATTAGGCTTGGACACTCCTCTTAGAAAAAAAAGTCACATAGAGACATTTGTTAAAGTCGTGTCATTTAAATTAAACCATACAACCAAACCACATTTCAACATGCATAAAAAAATAAAGACAATTTTATGATTCATTTAATTTATAACGTTATCATATTACTAACATTCCAGCAGTGGAGCAAAATATCAGCAATATCCTGTGGGTATTTGAGAGCTAAACATGAGCCTCACTGTAAATCTATCCATATCTAACAGAGAGGAATGCACTCTTGCATGCCAAAGCTGGTAGTGCTTTTCTTATTTTCTTTCACAGATTAGCTCAAACATGCAAATAGAAACAAAGACGATTATATAATGCATTTTGCCTTCAGTAAAAAAGACGAGCAGTATTAATATTTATTAGTTTAAGTAAATTGTTTTCGTACAAGAGAGCTGCTTGCAACTTTTTCGATCAAAGCACAAACAATGCACAGGCATACACGAAAACACACACTCACTATCCAGGCCACTGCAGTGGAGTGTGTTTGAGAAACACAACAGGAAAGGTTGAACAGACAGTGTGTTCTAGCAAAGTGGGAAAACAGGAATCCACAATGGACTGCTATGGTGACGCTTTCAAAATGTTACAGCATCATAGAGGACGACACGGTGGGACAGTGGTTAGCACAGTCACCTCACAGCAAGAAGGTCGCTGGTTCGCAGTTGGCATTTCTGTATGGAGTTTGCATATTCTCCCTGTGTTTGTGTGGGTTTTCTCCTGGTGCTCCGGTTTCCCCCACAAGACCAAAGACATGCGCTATAGATGAATTGGGTAAGCTTAATTGTCCGTAGTGTATGTGTGTATATCCTGGTCCTCCAGGTTGTGGGTTGAGCATTGGGCTAACATCGCACCTCATAAAATCTAGATGTTACAAAACATTAACATGGTACGGCTAAATATCTACTTCGATATTAACGGCCTTATGAGTAAATAGGTAAGTTAGTATGTAACATTCATAAAATAATGAAACAATATTATTAAAATCTCTACAGCAATTACCTTCCCTTATCTCTTACCTGCACTAGCTGAAAAACTGTTATGCAAATTATAATGCATTACGCGTGATGTAAACATGCAAACAATTAGTTCCATGTATACAATTGTTAAACACATAAACCCCTCATGTACCATCACACATGCATAAATGAATGTTAAATGTACATAAAATGCAATGAAACCCTTAACATTTTGCAGCACCCCATTGAACCCCACTGTGGACTCCTGCAAACAACATGTGCCTGTATGCACACACACAATCACCACATTATGCAACTATTATTAACATCCCCCATAAAGCACACAAGAACGTCAACAACTTTAGCTGATCTTTGGGCATAGGCTGATCTACAGTGTAAACCACCTTCAGACCTTAGACCGCTAATCCAGATTATTGTGATAGTCTGTGTACACACTAATCTGAACAAAGCCAGACCAGTTTCTTTCCCACAGCAAACCCGGACAAAATGAAATGCCGTCAACATAGGAGTGCATAATTTCAATCACATCTTAGTGACCAATCTGACACATGTATAGACAGCTCAATTACTAACGGATCACTTAAAGAACTACTATCCTTTTTATTTAAGCACTAATTATATGCCCTGACTTGTCGACAACATCACCTATGGTCAATTATATTCTCGACACATGAGACTGCGTCAGTCAAGATACACCTGTTGCACATGACCAACTAAACACACCTAAGACAGTGATGCATAGCATGTGTCGAAGCATGCGGTTGGCAGAGATACTCACCCCCTGGCATACCCAAAGAAGGCACTGAGATCTGCAAATCTGGAATTGTAGAGCAAGAATCAACCTCAGCTAGAAACGCAGAAGAGTCAAATCGAGGAAAAGAAACAAGTGACTGTCGCTCGAAATGTCTATTCTTAGCTAATCAAGCTCTTTCCGTAATCCTGCAGGTTATCAACTTCAGCTCAAATTCTTACCGTCACCCTGCGATCTTTTAATTACAGACTGGTACAGAGAGGCAGAGCAAGAGAGCGAGGGAGGAAAGGAGAAAGGGAGGGTGAGAAGGACAAGGAGAGAGAGAGGGAGGGAGGAAAAAGGCGGCTACTTTTGGCCCTCCTCTGGGTTACAGTAGCAGGAATGCAAGTCTTGCCATCGTAACACACACACTTGCACACATAAGCTTGGAATGCCACTCCCCTGGACCATTCTTCGGCCACTCGACTTGATCAGATCAGACTCTCTGTGTGTTAAACAATACAGTTCAACTCCCCGTGAGGTCTGTATTAACTAAAGAAGCACTTCACTGCTCTCCATTCCTCAAGTTCGTGTCCTCGTTTATAAAAACATAGTCTTTGTTTCATTGAAGTGGCTGTCTCACTGTTGATCGGTATCTTTTTAGGAAGTGCAAACTTCTCTTTCTGTTTCTTTGCCTGCTGTGGCTTTTCCCACCAATTGTGTCTATGCTCTCACGGCCAAATGTCAGCAATCTGTTTGCCGTGTCGAATAAATACCATGTCAAAGTTCTGTAAATAATCTCGACACCAAATACAGAACACATCATTCTTCTCTGTCTCAGTTGAGAAAGATTGCTGGAATACATATTAGGATAATGTGGGATTGTAAAGCCTAAAAATGTATTATTTTGTTCTTGAAACTAAAGGACTTCATATTTTCTCGAGTTCAGCTGCATGATTTTCAAAGTTGTTTTCACACTGGATGACTATTTGGGGTAGCATTCAGTTGCGGTTGTGTTCGCTTTAGTGATTGTCAATAAGGATATCCCGATCAGGTTTTTTTTTGCCTTTGAGTCATTTGATTTTGAGTATCTACCGATACCAAAACCTGATCCGATACTTCTATAATACATAAAAAGAATAAAGAAGAGTAAAGAAACAGATCCAGGATGTTCCTTATTTTGATTTATTTCACCTAATTTTAACATTTAACTTCTCTGTTAAAAAACAGAGTGCTTCTGTGAGCTTGAACAATCAAGTAATAAATTCTTTACTTTTAGACTTTAGTGCAATAGTGTACTTTAAAAACAAATAGCACCTCAACTTAAAATACCCGGCAGGCAATCCCAAGTTTACATATCTCACAAGTTGCTATGGAAATGTTGTTGCCTGCAACTTTATAATACCTCCAGACCACAGGCATACTTGCGCTTTTTGCTTCAAGCTGCTTTTGTGTTCAACTTTGCCAGCATTTTACCAATAGCATCTCTGCAACAAAGGGTTATCTCTGTGACATTCACTGGATAACTAAGGATGTGGTAAAAAAAATAGAATATATATATATATAATATACATCTATATTTGAGTCCTGATCAGGAGGTAACATTCGATTCCGATCAAATCTGGCCACGATTTCCAATTGTCAACAGGAGCTTTCCATACTATAATGAACTGTCTGGTCCACAAACTATGTTTTACACCCAAACAAACCAGAGTACTGGTAAGGAAATAATGTAAGATTACACACAAGTTCTTGCTCGAGACTGGATATGGAATCCAGTTGTAGTACAGCTCAGATGGACCATCAAAAAGACATGGATGCTCCAGCCAAAGTCTCAACAAACTTTCCTACATTTCTTGGGTTTAAATGAACCATGAAGGAGCCTTTCTCAGAAACAAATTCATGTTCCTTGATATTGGTCTACAGCTTCTGCCAAAACACCTGTATCTTTCTCTCTCATTGGCTTTAGGTCATCACTAATGTGTTTTTTAACTCCAAGAACACTAAGTATTTTATGGGCATTGGCGACATGTTGGCGATTCTCTAAAAGTGTCTTCTGCTTAATTGCCACTAGCACTCATTTGCTTCTGAGTTTGGAAACTTGTTGATTTCACAAAACCCCTCGTTATGTGAAAATCTGGGTTAAAAGTGTACATTGTAACCTCAGAGTTATTCAAATTAATTTCCCTGCACTAATGGGATGCTTCGATCAGGTGTATTTGTTCTCAGGGCTCTCCTAGTTTTCGTCATGCAGTTGTGACTAATCACTACTGAATACACTAGCTCATTTATCTTCAGAGGGGGTGAAAAGCGCCTGTGATGCCCAGGTGTTGAGGTTCCCACACGCACTCATTCACAAACACACAAGTCCCTCCACAAAAGACCCCAAACCTCTTGGCGAGTGCAGGCCACGCTTTTTGTGTTATTTGCACTGAACACAAAGAGATGCTGAGAGAGACTGGACAGGGGGTCTGAGAGCAGAACGGGGGTGTCCTGAGGGAGTGCATGCTGGATAAGTTCAAAGGGCGTTTCTTCTACAGCATAAACAGGAAATACCAGTGCAGCGTTCACACTGAGAGTAACAGAGAGAAAAATACAAGCTACAGGAATTAGTACAAACAGGGAGATCTTACAAATACATATAGTATGCTCAGGCATAGGTCAGTCCTTAAGAACCAAAACTACAATAATGAACTACATCAGGAGTCCTTAATCATGGTCCTCATGA